TATGGAAAAAAGAGACTAAGATTATAAACTTTAAATCACAATGCGACAGGGCCTTTGCCAATTAACAGTTCATGTTGTCCCTTTAGAGAAGACAATTAGATGACCCTAGATTCAAAGTTTCTGGTATCGTGTAGAAAAAAGATGAAGAAGATCACATTTCTGTAATATATGTGGCTCTATGTATCACCATGGTAGGGCTTAATAAAAATGAGTGTGTAAAAATATATGAAAGAATTAGAAAATTATCAACACTGTTAACCTCTGACCATCTGTTCCATGAAGTTCAAGGCCAAGAGAGAATCTATTCAGTCTGAGATTGCAACACTAAGCTACTGGTACAATCCATTAAAATCAGATGTCACTGTCATTTGAAAAAATAAAAAACAAAACAAAACAAACAAAATTCTAGTGAATGATAAGAAGTGCCAGTAGCAGGGGAAATTTAAAAAATTGTTATTTTGATAAAGAGAACATATACCATGCATCTGGGTGACCCATGAAACATCAGAGAGGTCTGACATTAAAGTCATCTTATTTGAAACACTAAGGGGGTTATCGCAAAGGTTTTAGGCAGGATAATCTTTTCTTACAGTAGAATAAATGTAAAGGTCAGATGCAATAATATAGCCTGTTTTTTTTTTTCTTTTAAGTTGGGGAATAACATGTTAAAAAATCAAAAGAAGTTTTGTTAAAAGGGTAATCTATTTTCAGAGGATAAATGGATGTATGATAAAATTGGGTGCAAGAGTGAGAGGAAAAATGTGAAACATATTAAAAGACTGAGAACTGGAGAACTGGCAAGACATAGCTTTTTAAACAAATGTGGAAGAGGAATTCATACTCATCATTGTGTTTCCAACGGAGAGAGCTTTACTAAAGGGAGAGCTGTACAGGGAAGTATATTTTGATATAATTTTAAGGAAAACATTTTTACTGATGGTTAGTATCTAATGGATAGCTTCGACGAGGCATTCCGTTCTCCATCCTTAGAGAGTTCTAGCAGAGGTGAAGGGCTATTTCACTTGGTTGCTTTTCTGTGGGATTCTGATGTACTAAATGAGAGTTGGAATAAGATAATATCTAAGATAGATACTTTTCAATTCTGATATATAAGAAGTATTTAGGGAAAAAAAAGTACCCAGTATATATGGTATGATTCAGATGGTGTCCAACATTAAAGTTATTTCAGTTGAGAAACTGAAAGGTTTATTACTAAAGATCCCCACCCCAACTCCCCCCCCGCCCAAAAAAAAAAAAAAAAAAGATTGTGCTCTCACTGCAGGGTAGATGCTGGGAGACTTCCTGAATTATGGTGATCTATACACAAAAGTCTAAAGAAATTAATGGAATTTTATTCTCGATCAACTTACTTACAGAACTATGAATGAATAACATATGGAGGAATTTTTCCTAAGAAGTGAGCGAAGGGAGTGGTACAAATTGTTTTAGAAAAAACCTATTTATAGAAAAATAGAGTGTGGTACAGCTGGTAAATCACAGAATCTAAATTATTCATACTTCCTTTGGGGGAGGAGAGTAGAAGAGGAGAAAGATGAAGAAGACATGAATGTAGGGTAGTAAAGGGAAGAGGAGGTGGAAAGGAATGACAGGAGGAGAGCATTAATAAATATTTTTGGTTGAAGCAAGATAATTGACCTTTTGGGGTGGCTTCTGGGATCTTTAATTTATGCTTTCCCTCAGGCTCATTTTTCTTTCAGAATTTTATAAAATGAACCATTTTCTTTCATTTCCAGATTCAGCTTGGCAGTTGCCTTGAAAGTACTAATTATGTTTTCCTTACGTAAGAGGAGAGAGACCTATGGTTGTTGAAGCTTCATTTTTTTTTAAACTATGCTTTAAAACTCAAAGGAGGATTAAGGATTATGTTAAGGATTATGTCACAGCTATTTTTGAAATCATTTTGTCTACAATGAATATCAAGAAAATGATAATGGAAAAGTAGCACGGTGCCTGGAAAATCCTTTGACAGAATTATTTAGACTTTGAGGTTTTTTTTAAGAATTTGAATATAACGCTAAAAATTTAAACAGAACTTCAAGAAATCAGCACATGACATCTAGCATGATATGATAATAGCAGCAGTTGAAGAAATAACAGAAGCAGTCCAGAAGAGCTGTCTACATCCAAACTCTTACAGAACAATGAGCCAAAGGTCAAATCAGTCGCTATGACGCACTACTTTAGAATGAAACTGTCCTCTTCATTTTTCAATTTAGCACTACGTAGAAAATGGATATCACAGTTTATTTTATCCCTAAGTCCACAAACTATAAAGTTTGTCTTCTTGAGAGAAGTTGTTAGAGAGAAGTTGTCTCATATCCCAATAACACTTTTCTGTTTCAGAAGACACAACATCATAAGAACCAACTTTTAGGACTTCCCTGGTGGCGCAGTGATCAAGTGTCTGCCTGCCAATGCAGGGGACATGGGTTCGAGCCCTGGTCTGGGAAGATCCCACATGCCACGGAGCAACTAAGCCCGTGCGCCACAACTACTGAGCCAGCTCTCTAGAGCTCTCAAGCCACAACTACTGAGCCCATGTGCCACAACTACTGAAGCCCGCACACCTAGAGCCTGTGCTCCACAAAAAGAGAAGCCAGTTCAGTGCAATGAAGAGTAGCCCCCCACTCGCCACAACAAGAGAAAGCCTGTGCACAGCAATGAACACCCAATGCAGCCAAAAATAAATAAATAAAATTAAAAAAACACACAAAAGAGCTTTAAGTTTTTTTAAAAAAAAAGAACCAACATTCACGTCAAAGGCAAAAACAAGCAAACAAAATTCAGAATGTCCTGAGAATGAAAATGGTAGTTCTACTATACAGCCTAGTGCCTACAGCTAACAACACTGTAATGTATACTTAAAATTTGCTAAGAAGGTAGATCTTATGTTAAGTGTTCTTACCCCATACACACACAAAATAATAATGATAATAATGATAGTGAGAGGAAACTTTGGGAAGTGATGGATAACTTTATAGCCTTGATGGTGGTGATGGTTTCATGGGTATGTACTTATCCCCAAAGTCATGGAGTTGTATATATTAAATATGTGCAGCTTTTTACAGGTCAGTCATACCTCAATAAAATGGTTTAAAAAATAAAAATAAAATTGTAGTGACTTCAAGTAGTAAAGAAGCCAAAAACTCTTAGTTGCAACTTTGACTGAAGTCATTAATGCCACATTTTTTGCCCATTCAGTTTGACCATACTTTTTCTGCTGACAGAGTTCCTTCCTGAGAAGTGCCTATTGCCTGGGACATGGTAGGTGCTCAATATATTACTTGTTAAATAAAGGAATTAATGAATGATAACTGAATGATGACTAAATGATGACTGAATGATAACTAAAGGAAGGAAGGAAAGAACTGACTGACAGATTTTAGGAAACAAATGCAAAGACCATATTTGGTGGTTACAAGCATTTGAAATCCAATTCTGTCCATTGTTAACTATATGACCATGGCCAAGTTAGTAAACCTCTCTCTATACCTCAGTTTCCCTTTGCTTATATAAAAGAGGCTGTTGTGAGAAATACATACTACATTACAGAAAAACATTTAAAAAAATACATGGAGCACAGTAAATGCCAAATAAATGTTAGTTATCAAGATTATTATAAAGCTCTTATCCAGATAATTCAATACAAAAATCACTGACAACTATGAAATTAGGCCAGTGCGACTACAAACAACCTGTCTAGAGTCCAGGGACATGGGTACAATGAACGTTGAGGTTCAACTCCCAAAACTTGCACATGTCCTAGAAATTACTATTCTGTTGAAACTGTATAGGTTGATCCTTCCCAAACACTTCTCATGAAAGTATTGGAGATAATGGCTCCTTGTGACAGAGATTCAAGATCCTGTTTTACAAAGGGAGACATATGACTCGATACGACTAGATATACTTCTCTTACTTGACAACTATCTTCTATTAATTTTCAGTATTTGATTATTATCCTGTAGATTTAATATAAAACAGTAAATGGAGATGAAACAGTTTTTAGGTGCAATCACCAATTTTTTACTGCTTATAATTGCCTCCATTTTGCTTTCATTTATCGTATAACTCCATGGCTCAGAAAGGGTGGCCGCATGTTGGTGTCAGTCGTTGCCCAAGACTCCTGAAGCATGTGAGCAACTGGCAAATAAAACAGTAGAAACCCTGTCTGAAAGGAGAGGGGGAAGGGATCCATTTGCACACGTGACAGAACTCTTGGAAGTCAGGAACTGTGTCTACACTGGTTGAACCAAAGAACACAGGCATAGAAATGTACAGATCAATAAACCAGATAGTGTTTTCCACTTTGCTATGCAAAGCCCATCTCTCTACCAGTCTGGATTTAGCAGTCTCTCTGGCTGATAGGAGATGGAAGATACCGGAAGAGCAACACATAATCTCTGTGCCTATGAAAACTGGTGAAAATTTAGATTTCTGTTTTTAAAATATCAACAAATCATCTCCAATTATACCTGTACTTCTGATATCTTTTACCACAAAATCTGCTCTCCCTTTTCTATTTCCACCCAAGGTCACTGCTTCCTCCCCCCAAATTCTTATGTTGAAGTTCTAACTCCAAATATGGCTGTATTTGGAGATAGGGTCTTTAGGAGGCAATTAAGGTTATTAATTACATGACTTAAGTCCTAATCTGATAGGACTAATGGCTTTATAAAAAGAGAAAGAGAGAGAGAGCTTTCCCTCAGCACAAGCCCAGAGGAAAGGCCATGTGAGGATGCAGCAGCAAGACAGTTGTCTGCAAGCCAAGAAGAGAGACCTCACTAGAAACTGAATGGGTCAGAACTTTGCTCTTAAATTTCCCTGCTTCCAGAATTGTGAGAAAATAAAATTTCTGTTGTTTAAGTCACCTAACCTATGGTATTTTGTTATGGCAGCCTGAAATGACTAAGACAGTCATACACTGGGAAACAAGAGCTTTATAAATATACACATAGTTCTGCTTCAGTCACACTCACCATTAGTAGTCTGTCTCCTACTTGCAACCTTCCATCTTTCTGTGCAGCTCCTCCATCTATAATTTTAGTTACATAAATGCTGTTGTCTCCAGGAATGTGTTGGTTCCCCACACCTCCTGCAATACTGAAGCCTAAACCTATGGAAAAGAAACAAAAAGAAAAGCATTGTATTTGTTTAAGAAAGTGCTATTAGTCACATTTCAACAGTCGAAAAAAAATTAATCCTCAATTTATTACAACAGTATAAATAACAATAAATTCTACTTCAATCAACTGTGTCCTTTAAACATTTGAAAGCTTGTTGATTAATGCTAATGAGGCAAAACACAAGTGCAATCCTGCCCACGTTTAGTCTATGGGCTTAACTTCGTTGCTGCTGTTGTTACTCTAGCATAGAGAACAGAAGTCCTGCCAGTCATTTGGGTAGAGACCTAGATATTTCTGACATTTTAGAATGAAAAGAACAGCAATTCGAACATTCCACAAATTCTGAGATAAGAGCCATGAGGAAGATACATTGGATATCGGTGTAATAATTTCAGAGAGAAGATAAGGAAAAGAAGCTCAATGCTTGCCCTTCATGTTTCCTTCTCTGGGTACCTTGTCATATTTTCACACTTCCTGGCACTTCCTGTTATTAACTTATAGTTAATAAAGAATGAACACAAACGAATCATCCCTGCACACAGTCTAAAGAATAAACAAATAGATTATATACTTGTATTATGTTTGTAACAAGCCATGAAATATGAAATCATTATAAACATGGAAAATTTCCTTTTTTAAAAAAAAAATTTTGTCTTTTGGAAATTTTCCATCTTGAGAGAAGAATTTTACTATGCTATGGCTTATAATTTTTTTCTTTCAGTTTTATTGAGATATAATTGACACGCAGTACTGTATAAGTTTAAGGTGTACAGCATGATGATTTGACTTATATACATCATGAAATGATTATCACAGTAAGTTTAGTGAACATCCATCATGTCATATAGATACAAAATTAAAGAAATAGAAAAAATTTTTCCTTGTGATGAGAACTCTTAGGATTTACTCTCTTAACTTTCATGTATAACATACAGCAGTGTTAATTACATTTCTCATGTTGTATATTATATCCCTCGTATTATTTACCTTCTAAGTGGAAGTCTGTACCTTTTGACTGCCTTCATCTAACTCCCCCTCTCCTCTTCCCCCACCTCTTGGTAATCACAGTTTTGATCTCTTTTTCTGTGACTGAGCTTGTTTTTGAAGTATAATTGCCCTATAATACTATGTTAGTTCCTATTACACAACACAGTGATTAGATATTTCTACACATTTCGAAATAATCACCATGATAAGTCTAGTTACAATATGTCACCGTACAAACATATTACATGGTTATTGACTATATTCTCCACATTGCACATTTCACAACCACTGACTCATTTATTTTGTAACTGGAAGTTTGTATTTCTTAATCTTCCTCACCTATATCTTCTCTCCTCTCCACCCGTCTCTCCTCTGGCAACGACTTACTTGTTCTCTGTATTTATCACTCTGTTTCCATTTTATGCTTGTTCTTTTGTTTTGTTTTTTAGATTTCCACATATAAGTGAAATTATACAGTATTTGCCTTTCTCGGTCTGACTTATTTCACTTAGCATAACATCCTCAGGGTCTATACATATTGTCATAAACTTTTATTTATATTAAACTATGGAATGATAACAAGAATAGTTATTAAAAATCATTATGAGGCCATTTTAAAAGAATGACTGATAGACTCTTTAAAAGTATAAGAACAAAAAAAATCTTTCTCAGAATATAATTGAATACACATTCGGTACAATACTTATAGCATATATTTTCATTGTATTTTGAAATGATAATAATTAACATGCAAATTACTCAGAAAGATAGATATAAGTCAAAGACATCTGTAACTAAAGACAGAACATTTCTGTAACTTGCTTAAGAAATTAAACGCCCCCTCACACACACACCCCTAGTTGCCTAGTTTTAAAAAACCACACACTTCTTTTATGATAAGACAATCATAAAAATTTTTGGCACTTTATACAATGAAAAACACTTTAAAAATACTCCATTTCACTATCCTTGTATTGAATAAATATTGAGTAGGGCTATGTGCTGCTCTTAAGATAGCATAAGTGATTAGTTAATGGAAAAATAATGGCATGGTAAATTATAAAGTAACACCTCTGGAATGATACCTGAAAGGAAATGATTTTTTTGTTAAATTAGTTGTTAACAATAAATGGAAAATGGATTTAAATTGATAGGGCAATTAAAATAAGTGTTATTTAATTTCCTACTAGAGTGGGTAATTATTCTTTATTGATGCTTTGACATTGCATAGATCTATAAACATATTTGTTTCCCTCATATTTAAAGAATTTGTTTACCAAGTGAAAGATGACCAAGGGTAGATAAAATGTCCCCAACTGGCTTTTCCTATGAAATTAAAAATACATATCAGCTCATGTTTTCTAAAACTGTTACTTCATATTTATATATGATTATAGGAAAGCTTAAGAAACATATTTACAAAAGTTTCATAGCCACATGCTAGGATCAATCTACTGCATTTACAATAGTACAGAAATCATTCTGAACTGTGGACAAAAGGTTAAAGAAAATTCAGGGACTCTGATTTACATCTACTATGCCAACAGTACATGCCACAGCCGGTCTGAGTTACAGAAGAGCTAAGGAAACAAATTACCACTATAAACAAGGTTAAGTCCAACAAAGGGAGTAACTATGTAGTTGAGATTTGAAGTTGAAGATTTTACCAAGACAATGAAATCACTGTGGATACCATAGACATAAATATATCAGCTAAAAAGGAAACAACGTTTTTTCCACTAAGATTAGGCTTAAGCACTTCTTAACTGGTGACTCTGCTTAAGCTAAAGTATTTTTAGTAAGAGCCAGAGAATGGCTCTAAAGGTACAGAACTAAACATTTCCCTTAATTTCTCTTACTTTGGTGGAACATGGATACATTTAAAAATAATCAATATTTGGTCAACATTCAACCATATTCCAGATATTCAATTCAACATGATAGGTAAACATATAGCTTATCTCTACATCCAGAATACAAGGTTATTTACAGGTGGAAGTATCCATCTGTGTTATAAAATCGAATCTGGTCCTATCTATCCATCCATCCATCCATCCATCCATCCATCCACCCATCCATCCATTCATTCATTTATTCATTCATTCACTCACTCATATATCCACTCATTCAACAAGAATCTCCTGAGTACATACCATGCATTGCATAACAGCTGCTATCAACTGTAGCCAACATAAATGTAAAGAAATGGATTGACCAGAAACAGTACAGAAATAATGATCCATGAGTCATATGAGTGACTGTGGCTGAACCTGGCTGAAGCAATGGTCTAAATCCAGATGATGTCTTGGCTTTTTGGAGGACTGCTCTATGAAGACAAATGTGGTCTAGGTCCACCAAGCCATAAGACCAAATCCAAATGATCAGTTTGGAGGTACTGGCTTCCTTGCACACACTCCGTGAAAGCAGAGGTAGTCTGTCTACATTATAGGATCATTCTCTACCCTCATTTGCTCATACTTCCTTCCTTCAATCCACTCTAGACACACTTACTGCCTTGATATTTCTAGAACATGCCAGACACACTCCCACCTTAGGGCATTTGCTCTAGCTGTTTCTGCTGCCTGGAACACCCTGCCTTCAGCCTGTTGTTAAAATTTCAATTTCTCTGGGAGCCTGACCCTGACCTCCCTATTTAATACTGTCCCCTAACAATCCATCCCACTTCCTTATCCTGCTCTATTTTCAGTGTCCCTTAGCACTTATTACCTTGTGATATACGATATAAATTATCTATGTATTTTATTTAATTTTTTATTGCCTATCTCCTTGGTGAAAATATAAACTCCAGATGACAGGGATTTTATTTTTATTTTTTTGCGGTATGTGGGCCTCTCACTGTAGTGGCCTCTCCCATTGCGGAGCACAGGCTTTGGATGCACAGGCTCAGCGGCCATGGCTCACGGGCCCAGCCGCTCCGCGGCATGCGGGATCCTCCCGGTTCGGGGCACGAACCCGCGTCCCCTGCATCGGCAGGCGGACTCTCAACCACTACGCCACCAGGGAAGCCCGACAGGGATTTTTAACTATTTCATGCTATGCAGTAGAACTAGGGCAGATACATAGTTACCTCATAAATATGCATTAAATGAAAGAATGGATAAACATATGAATAGAAGAGGACAAGGAAAATCACTTGTCTCTGAGAAAGACTCCCCTTTAATATGAAGCTGGTGGCTTTAGAGAGAGAGGAACAGCTGAAAAAGTGAGCGCCGTTAGTTGGAGTTGATAAATGTATATGTTACATTTCCTCATTGAACTCTGGTTACCTCTCCATCTTAGTCTATACAGAGTTTATGGCAACCACTGTGCAGGCAGTGGTACAACAGCAGAGCCAGCTTCGTATCCTGATTCTTCCATCTACTAGCTGTGTAAACTGGAGTCCCAATCTCCTCATGTGTAATAAGGGAATAAACGTATCTATGGGGCTTCCCTGGTGGCGCAGTGGTTGAGAGTCCGCCTGCCGATGCAGGGGACACGGGTTCGTGCCCCGGTCTGGTAAGATTCCACATGCCGTGGAGCGGCTGGGCCCGTAAGCCATGGCCGCTGAGCCTGCGCGTCCAGAGGCTGTGCTCCGCAACGGGAGAGGCCACAACAGTGAGAGGCCCGCGCACCACAAAACAAACAAACAAAAAACCGTATCTATGTTCTTTAGTAATTGGCACATAATAGATTCATTTTTCAAATTTCTTTTAAAAATTTTATATAATTTTGAAAGGTTACTTTCCATCTACAGTTATTACAAAAATAGATTCTTGATAAATAAAAATTCTCTGTTTTCAATAAGCTCTCAAGTTGTTTGGAAAACAGATACCTAAAGATCTTGACATAACTGAACAGGCTAAGTTCTGTAATGGTACTATGATATGTGAGTATGGAGGGGATCATGACTTCTTAGAAGAGCAGGAGGAGAATCAACAAAAGGTTTAGCATTTGGGCCGGATCTTGAATAAAGTATTAAGTCAGAATTGATAAAAGAGAACGCATCTTTATTTTATTTTATTTTGCAGTACGTGGGCCTCTCACTGTTGTGG